ATAATGGGGAATTTTCCCAGGGTGAAGTGTGTTAAAATGGGAAGAAAAGGCAAGCAGAGCATTCTGGGTTTTCCTGGACACGTTAGTCAAGATGTAAATAGCTTGAGTTGTTTAAAAAATAGGTCAATATACAAAATAGAGAAACAGCAGAGAAACGAGGAAAAGATGTTTGATTTTGCTTGAATTCTTTTTTTTCTTGTTCATTTGCATTTACTTCTTGGAAGTGTAGAAATGACTTCCAAATATAACTGCTCCTAAACAAAAGCAGGATTGAAAGCTGGAGAAGCTATGTTAAGAGTGGGTTCCTTTCCAAATCCTGCTCTGGGAAAGCATGCAGTTGCCTTCCAAATTGTCCCCTCCTGTTGCCTGTGTGTTTGTCAGTTAGTGGCTGGAAAGTGAAACTCTGACAGTATTGCCTCTGGGTAGAACTTAAGCAATGATTTTCAGATAAGGGAAAAACAGCAGTAATATTTTTCAGATGAGTTGCTTGTTTCTCTGAAGTTTTATGCTTGCTCTTTTGTGCTGCAAAATATTTATTTTCTCTGCTAGCTTGGATTCAACTTGCAGTGCAAGCAGGGGGGTGTCGAACTTGGTTTAGCAGTTCGATGCTACACATGTTCTCCTTCACACTTGTACTCAGGTTTTTACCCCTGTTCTACCAAGATACCTTCTTTACAATGGTGTTTTTAGCAGGAGTTAGTCTTTTCTGGTTAGCAGCTGAGATACACCTTCTTTGTTGTATAAATGCATCATTAGATTAGACTGTTGTGTCATGTGGAGGAGTTACTCCTTTAGAAGATTAATCTTTTCAAGCAATGTTGAGAAAATTTCCTTTTTTGTGCTTTTGCCTTTGTTTCCATCACAGGTTTGTTGGAACACACACTTCCTGATCTTCTTCTATCCTTAACTTCAATACTGGTGATGAGATGTCTGCAATCTGAGGTGGTCAGGAGGCTTCCTGAGCCCCTCAGACTCATAGAGGTCTGCTTTATTCAGTTTGTGCCCTACCATGCGTGCTATTGTGCAATGTGCCCAAAGCAACACAGTTAAAGAAGATTTTGTGGGACTATAAAAGGCAGAGTTCTCCATAGTTATGCTCTCTCCCGGCTGATCAAGTCAAATGTGTAGTGGGTTTTGCGTGGAAGGCTGGAGTTGAGAGTATGTGGATTGCAGCTGAGATTCTGTGTAGGGTGACTGTTCCATGGGAAACAGCTAAAGTTGTTTAGATCAATGTTACTGCTGGCACTCAGTAGTAAAAGCTAAAGTGCTCTCATCTCTTTTATAACAATGTCCAGCTGGGCATGGAAACTTATCCAGTATTTCCTTTTTAAAAAATGATGCTTTGTGCTGCTCAAATCTTGTGTCTTCAAAACCTTCCAGGGATGAGCAGGAAGTAAGAAAATACTTTTCCCATGTAAGGAGGAGTTGCCATTGCTGGACCAATGTAAAACAATAAAATCGGTTTTCTGTGCGTGGTCATTAGGTTTGTTTTAGGGTGTTTGTTGTTACTTGGTGGAGGGTTTTATTGGCTTTTAGGGGTGTGTATTTTTTTTTTTAATGTGAGACCCTGTTTGGAAACTGGTGTGTGACGTGAAGCCTTTATTTTTAAGATGATTCTAGTGTTTCCGAGTCTTTTTTAAAAATGGTCTTGAGTAACATCCTCCTTGGTAATGTCTATCTACAAGCAAATAAGGTGGGATCTTGAAAGCAGATGCTCTGGTTTTGTAGATAAGGGAGAAAATGAGATGGTCCGAATGGCATGTGCACTCTTGCAAGTCATCTTGCAGTACCAGCACACCTCCTTATCCTGGAAAGGGGTAGGCAAAGACTGCCTGACTGTGAGATCACAGCTATGCAGCAGAAGGATCTTAGTGAGGCAACGTCATTTGCTTTTTATAGCTTTTCTCTTAGGAGGCCATCTGTATGTACAACTGCATTTCCACATCCCTGAAAGAAATTTTCTAATCCTTGTTTTCCTGAGAGGTGTTGACAGGAGGGATCAGCTCTTAGCGTTTGTGCAAACCAGAGAGGTGTAACAAGCAAAGGTAATGGATTCATCAGGAACTGTAGTTTACAGAAATAATGCAGTTCAAAGTGGCAATGAAATCAGGAGTAGAAGTTTGCACCTGGCAGATGAGCATTTTGCACAATGTAGGTGATATTGCTCATACTGTTGGTCAAGCTGAAATTGTATGAGAAGAAGAACTGTTGTGCTGAACTGGAAATCTTTATCATATAGTTCTGTTTTTTTAATGCATTTATCATTAAAAAAGTTTCATGCCCCATATTAAGTTGGAGCCATAGCACTGTATGTATCTACAGCACAAACCCAGCAAAGGTGTTGGCAGCAAAACCTTCCCAGGCTGCCATTTCACATCAGGCATCTGTGATTTCTAGGGGCACTTTTTTAGAAGTGAAGAACATTTTGCCTACATGTTTAGTCAAGCCCCTGATGCCTCTTTTGCGAATGACAAACAATAGAGGTGCGTTTGATGCTCTCTGGAAACAAGGCAAAGGGTCAGAAGTCTGTTTCATTTTGACAAGCAGCTGTTTTATAGCTGCTTTTCTTCTCACTGCCAAACTGTGGAACTTTTGCCCAGGAAAAAAACCTTCAGGTAAATAGCATCGTGACCATTTGTTGCCTCTCATTTGTTCCATGTAATTTATTTGTGAAAAGAAATACAGTTTTGTTTGCTTTTCTCCCTGCCAAGTAGTGTTATTGCAGAAATGACAAATTGCTGTCAATTCCTGCATATTACACTTTTATATTAGAAAGATACCTTGTAGCGTAAAAGTAGCTAATAAAGCCTAAGTAAAAATTTGGCTTAATTTTGTGAATAACCTCTTGTAGTCTACACTGGGGACATACACAGGAGCTTCTAGAGTTAGTAGAAGCAGTGCACTGGAACATGAAATGCAGAGCTGAATGACCTTACTGTTTGAAACAGAATTTTTCAAAGCTCTGGTCAACAGGCCTTCTGATGCCTCTGGGTGCTGCACTAAGAACCATTTTTAATAAATAATCTGATTTTTTTTTTTGATTTTTTTTTTTTTTTTTAGTTTTGGGAAGTTCCAGGGTAGAAAAAAGGAAATGTTGAGGGTTGACAGTGGCTAAAGCCACTGCTGACAGGCCTTTTGATGCCTCTGGATGCTGCACTAAAAGGTCCACAGAACCATTTTTAATAATCAATCTGATTTTAGTTTTGGGAAGTTCCAGGGTAGTATACAGGAAATGTTGAGGGTTGACAGTGGCTAAAGCCACTGCTGTGTTTAGAAGCGTTTCCATCTATTGCAATGACTACGTAGTGCAAAACAATAAAGGATTTTGTTCCATATTTACAGAAGATGTCTCTTGGAATTTGGCTTTGTGCATCTGAATTGCTGGTAGTAATTGTGTGTGCGTGTTGGAAAGTAGTTTTGATACCTGTCTAATTAGTCGTTTGGCTTCCTTTCTTTTCCCAGCATCTCTCTGAAAAAGCAAGGTGTGCCCAGGCACGCATACACATAGCTGGTGTGACTTTTGAGACTATGCTTTTGTTTGTGTCAACTAAGTAGTACTGCTCTCTGGATACTCTCAGCTGCATCTTTGTAAAGTGAAGAGTTTACTAGGGTGCCAAATAACTCTCATAAGCCTACCACAGCCCCCCTTGCATCCCCATCTACCTTCCATCCTCCCAACCCTTGTTGCTTTGACTATTAGAAGTCAATTTATTTCACATGTTAACATATGCCATATATGTGTGTTTGCCATTACCGAGTTTATAGTTCTGAGTTTTATCTGGGGAGAGGTGTGATAGGCTATACAATCACATCACAATCAGGTTTTGGGTACCTGAGCTTGGCTTCTGACACGTTATTAAATTCCAGTGAATCACTTGTGCCTCTTTAAGCTATGGTTTCTTCATGTATGTGGCATCAGTTTTTTAGTAAATTACTTTGAACACCTTACTGTGGGTGACCCCTAAAAAAAGAACCAAGAATGAACATTTGGTTAAAGAAGCAATAAAGCTATTGTAGAATTTGTTGGGAATAGTGTGCGCTTGCAGGTTGAAGGTGTGTTCACCATTTGCTTAGAGTCCATTCTCTTTTCTGTTCTTGTGGTTTTTTGGTTTTTTTTTTTTTTTAAGTAGGAGGAGAGCCAGATGAAACTGTTTGGCCCAAGTTTTTCTGTAAAGCTGGTGGTGTTCACTTTGTGTGCATCTCTATCTAGATTGGCTCAGTCTTTTCATGCCTCTCTCATCCTCCATGTTCATTCGCCTCTTTGTGGAGCAAAGCAAATGGATGTCTGAATATAGTCCTTCGAAACAGCCTGGGGTGTGGCAGCTTGTGTAGCTGGGATAGAAGATTTTTGGGGCTCCCTCTCCATAGGCTTTGAGCACAGCTAGGAGCTGAGACTGCTCTCCCAAAAGGAAGTGCCGAGTGTTCAGAGTATGGTGCCCCATTGACAAGCCTACCTGTCTGTGTTTCCTGGCTCTGCACTCTTTATGTTCCCAGCTACTTAAATCAATTGTGTAGGCAATGTAATTACCCATTTGTTACTAAGAAAAAAGACTAGCTCAGATCCTTTCTTTCTGCTGTTATCAAGTGCCTCAGCTAGATGTTACAACTTCACTGCTTGGAGCTGAAATAAGTGAGCATTTGTGTACCAGTTGCATAATGAGAATTTAATGTATGCTCTGTTTTGTGGTGTGGGGGTGGTTTTTTGTGTGGTGGGATTTTTTTTTTTTTGTTTAGGTGTTTCGTTTGTTTGCTTTTGTTTTGTTTGTTCCATTTAAGCAGAAGTTTAAAAACATTAGCTTCAGAAAAGCAATATGAAGAAGAGTCGTGGTGGGGCTGCACCCAAATAGCCTGAAGCTCAAATCGAGTGGTTTGGGATGAGTGAGATCAGTGCAGCAGCATGAAGAGGACAGCTGGAGGAGATTGTGAGAAGGAGGAGGAAAGGCTGGAAAGCTTCTTGGCAGAAAAGGACCCTGGGGGTGCTGGTGGACAGCCAGCTGAACATGAGCCAGTTGTGTACCCGGGTGGCCAAGGCGGCCAAAAGCGTCCTGGCCTGTATCAAACACAGTGTGTCCAGCAGGAACAGGGAGGCGGTTGTGGCGCTGTACTCAGCACAGGTGAGGCTGCAGCTGGAGTACTGGGTTCAGTTTTGGGTGCCACAGTATAAGAAAGACATGAAGGTGCTGGAGCGGGTGCAGAGAAGGGCAACAGAACTGGAGAAGGGTCTGGGGAACATGTCTTATAATGAGTGGCTGAGGGAACTGGGAACACTTATTCTGGAGAAGAGGAGGCTGAGGGGAGACCTTATTGTTCCTTAACCTGAGAGGAGGTTGGAGTGAGGTGGGTGTTGGTCTCTTCTCCCAAGCAACTAATGATAGGCTGAGAGGAAATGGGTCAAGTTGCTCCAGGGGAGGTTTAGATTGGTTGTCTGGAAGAATTTCTTTACTGAAAGAGTGGTGAGGCATTGGAACAGGCTGCCCAGGGAGGTGGTGGAGTCACCATCTCTGGAGGCATTAAAAAAATGTGTAGACATGGTATTTCAGGACATGGTTTAGTGGTCATAGTAGTGTTGGTTTGATGGTTGGACTTGACGATCTTAGAGGTCTTTCCCAACCTTAATGATTCTATGATTCTTGCTATCCTGTAGGGTAGGTAGCTGTTTACCCTGAGCAGCAAAACAGATATGGAAAATGACCCATTTGCAATACTGCTTCCAGACACTTCATCCCATGTTGAGGCAGTACATGCTTCCTTTGCCTCTGTACATTTTCTTACTTGCAGGCCAAAATAAGAAGACTTATGTCTTTGCATTGTCAAACTGAGCAAGAGAAATGATTCATGTACTGATATATAGGATGTGGAATTCAGGTTTGGTGCTTTTTCAGTTACTTTTGTTTTGCACTTTTCTGCTGCTTGTAGTTGTGTTTTAAGCCTGTACTGTTTTCATACACTGCTACAGCACCACTTACATAATTTTTGGAAGATTTTAAAACTAGAAACTGACTTCAGCCAGGGAAGCTGCAGTGGAGAGGACTGAGCCAGAGATGGAACAGTATGGATGAAGAGAACAAGGTTGGATAGGAAAAGTAGAGGGACATGGAGCACTTAATGCAGTTGAAAAGTGACGGCAGGGAAGAGGCCCACAGAGAGGTGTCAGCAGCTGAATTTCTCTCTTTCTGCTTAGTGCAGCCTCAAGGGAGAGCAGAAGAAGAGAGGGTGGTGAAATGAAGACCAACAGAGATTGTGAAGAAGAGTAGAAGAGAAGGAATTAGGGTCTGGGCAAGATGAGTGTACTGAAGTGACAGTGCATGGAGATGTCTTGTTACTTCAACTCTGTAGGCTTTTAAAATTTTCCTCTGTGGTAGTGATGAGGTATTTACCTTAAAGGCCTCTGATTCTTGTATGGGGGAAAAAAGGTACTGGCTTTCAGAAATCAGCTAGATCTCAGAGAAACAAAAACTTTAAGCTCCCAAAAGTTTTTTATTGAAGGATTTCACAAAGTGACTTGTAAGTTTTGTCTGCTTTCAGAAATTCTGCTCCAAATAGAGTATTGTCTTTAGACAGCAAGATATGAGTTTGGAGAGTCTCACTGGGAACTTGGGAAAAGATACATTTATCTAGGCTTGAGGGAAGTTGTTCAAAAGTTGAAGTAAGGGAAATGGGGTATGATTCATCCTGCTTTTTCTGTTCTCCAGTATATCAATTTCTGTGGACAAGAGGAGAGGGACTTCAGTCTTTAGAGAGTCTTGCTCCAAGCTGATTGGCGGTGCTTACAATTGCACCACCAGAAAGCAATAAAAGAAATACATACAGCAACACTAACAGAAAGCAGATGTCTTGCTTTTGCAATTAAAGAGCTGGAGAAGGCAATACGAAAATAATGGCAACTGACTATGCATTTGAGGGGGTGGGAGGAGGGAATATGTACACTTTGTGTCAAAACGGAAAACCTCATGAATACTGGTGAAAATGAAAGATCCACTAACAGCCACAGTACCTTGCTTTGAAAATTTGGGTCATGTATGGTTAATTTTTCATTAGAAAGCGTTATGCTAAGACTGCTGCAAGATGGAGCAGACAGCTTTTCTCATGGCTTTCTCAGGTCTGTTTTTCTGCTTTGGATGATTCTGTAATGCCAGTTGTCTCTGATTCAGCTGAGCAAAATGTGTGGAAACCGAGACCTTTTTTATTCCATGTGCGTGTGTTTTGTATGAGGAGGAAAATGGTACTGAGAGAGTTATCTGTGAAATACAGTTTAATGTTTTTTAAAAACTGTATGTAAAATGGAAATAGATTTGACGTCTTTTAGTCTATATTTGGTCTATATCTGAATGTGGCTGTGAACCAGAACGGTAATTAGTCACCTACGCAACATCTTCATTCACTGGCTGTAGTACATGGAGTTTTTCTGCTGGTAATGTCTTGAGGCAAACAAAAAATGGGCTTTAGGAGAATGCATTCTTTGTATAGGCATTAGCATAAATATGTAAATGTGGATATAGGCTTGGAGCAGTTTGACTTTCCTGTGTGTGTTTAGCCACATGAAAATGAAATGCTCTAATGGTGTGTGTTGAGAATAGACAAGATATTGGAACTGGAGTGAGTGGCCGAAGGAAGGGGCAGACTTCAGTACCTGCCTTCCCTGTGATACTGGTGCAGGCTGAAGCTGGAGAGTTGAGAGGACGTCCTATTTGTTTTGTTTGAAAGACTGGGAAATGATGTGTTTAAAGCAGAGTACACATCAGTGGCATGAAGGGAAGAAGAAAACTGTGTGAAACTTCCTTTTCATTTCTGTTTTGGTGCCCTTTCTCTGTCAGGGCTACTTTAAAAACAAACAAGCAACAAACCAAACGAAATCCTTTGTTCTCTGTTACAGATACTGAGCTCCGTTTTGCCCTGACTTAAAAGCAAAAAGACTGATTTGGCACAAAATACTTTAAAGAAAGCAGTGGGTATTCTGGCTTGGAGATATCTCCGAGTGAGTCTGAGCAGAGTGCTACAGAGGAAGTGCTTAGGGAAAAATTGTTCATCTGGGGTTTTAAGAGTCAGTTAAGAACTTGTCACTGCTGCTTTATATATGTACAAAGCTCTGAAGCCCTGTGTTTTCCTGATTGTATTTCAGGATGTGAAATATTACACATCCTGCTCACTGCTGTGCTCGCCAGTTAAGTACAGTACCTTGTGTTCCTGTGCTGGGATGGCTAAATACGGGGCTCCAAAACAAAAAAAAAAAAGCTCTTGTGAGGAAGCTCTGCTTCTGAACTCTTGACAGTTTTGACACGCTGTGCTAGTGCATACTGTTGTGAAGAAGGTGAAGTTAGGTGGCTGTGTTATAGTTCGATCTCACACAAGTGTTCAGCGAATCCACAGGTGGGCATACGCTGGCTTGTGCATGTGGCACATAAACCAGCCTTCGACTGCTCGGGCTGTGGCTTTGTCCTTTTGGTTGAAAACTGGTGGCAGGGTTTAAGAATTCAGCTGAGATAAAAAATTCAACATGCGAAGAGATGTCTGATGACTCTACAATTAAGCTTCTCTCAAACTTTTTTTTAGTATTTGCATTACTGTTTACACCATCACCCTCTAAATGAGGTGCTGTGGCTGTGCTGTATGATGCTGTACCTCTAGCAACAAAGAATCATTTTTGTCCGTGCAGACAAGACCGGGAATGAGATACGTGCAGTTTGAAATACTTATCAACCAATCCACTTCTGAAAACTGCATGTGAACTTTATAAGTAGGGCAACAGCACAAGTACCACTCAACATTCTAGTCTTAAATACATCTAATCTTTATAAAGGAGGAACTTGAACACGTGTTTGATGTTTGTGAATAGAAAGCAACCCATGAGAAAGTACTATTAAGATTTTTTGTAGGGCTGTAATACTCTAGAGGAATGTTTTAATATTCTCCTGCAAATAATTCTAAAAATCTTGATACCTTTTTTTTTAAACAAGCTCTACCCCCAATCCAGTAACCATTTATAGTCAGGCTAAATGGTTTTACTAGATGTCTGTGGAGAATTGACTGGTTTTTCTCTGTAGAGTGTTCTGTAGATAATGAGGCAAACTTCCACCTTTTTATTACTCACTGGGATACTTTAAGGGATGTAGATGAAATTTTCCAGATGTAACTAAGATGATATATATGCCATCTCCCCACGTGCTTCAGATGTGAAGAGATTTTCGTTCTGGTTGTAAGCAAGCAGAACAAAACAGTCTTGGAGACATCTGCAGAAGGGCTGCAAGATAAGCAGGATATGCATTGTGCTTTACTTCTGATTCTAACAGTAAAAATACAGAGGGATTTTTGCTAAGCACTTTCAATTTTATTTTATTTTATTTTTTTTTTTTTTGGCTATGCAGGAGTTTTTTGTAATTGTCCAGAAAATCCAAAGTTAATCCTGCCAAGAGGTATGTCTCCTCATGAACATCTCTCTTCTGCTAGTGGGGATTATGGAGAGGATTCCTTTGTGCTTCATGCCCATAGCAGGCTGTGGTTGTGCAAGGGTGGCCCTTCCTAGGGTGGTGTGATTGTAGGACGTTAGGTCAGTGGTCTGTCTAGCCTCAGTATTTTGTCTCAAGTAATGTAAGCAGAGTTTGTCCAAGGCAAGAGGCATTTAAGCAACGAAGCATGCGTACGGTAATCTTTTCCCAATTATAATCTTCCAGTGAACAACAGTGTAAAAACTGAGCCTGATGTTATATCAAAATAATTTTTCAATAGCTATGGATCTTCCATTAATTAATATAATCTTTTCTTCAGAATGTGATTAAGCTTTGGATTTCCACAGCATCCTGTGATAACAAGTTCGTGGTTCCATCCTGAACCTTTTTATCCTAGTGGACTTTGTCCATTGTTCTGATTTCATCAGCTACTTCTAAAGACAACTGCAGAGATTACCATTTTGGGATATAGAGAAGACTGGGCAGGATGTAATTCTTTGATCCCCTCACTTTCCTGTTTTTTCTCAATGGGCTTGCCAGAAGTGTGACAATCTCAGTTTTTTAGGTGATTATAGCGCAGTCTCATTACCCTGTAAATTGAGGTGAGCTTGGCATGGCTTGAGACCCATGTAGTCTACTACTACAAGTCACCTTTTGCAACCTATGAGGTAATCTTACCCTTGAGTCTCAACTTCTGGTGAAGGATCAGGACACTTGACAGGATTAAATTTAATAAAGCTGGTGTATCGGAGCCAGAGCTGCAGCTGATGTGTATAGCTGTTAAGTTACATTTGTATGTACTGACTGAATTCTTTCATTCTAGTTTTCCACACTTAATCGTTTCAAAACCATATTAAGGTATTTGCAAAACATAATGTTTTGTACCTCCCTACACATAAGAATTTGAGACTTCCAAATGCAGCTTATGGATTTTTATAATGTCATAGCTTCCCCACCCTTCACTGCTGTTCCTTCAACCTTGGTGCCTTTGGCTCTGTAAGAAAGGAGGAGAAGAGCCTGATACTGCAGAAAAGAACTTAACTGTGTTTGTCTGAAAGTGATTTGGAAACTTGTACAGCTTTTTCTCAAGTTTCAAGTAATCACTGCAGTCAGGAGAGTTACACACGCTCTTCTGGCAAGCTTTACAACTGTAGGAAGGGGGCAGTCTTGACAGGTAAGATGACCTTTTTTGGCTCACATGGTGTATCCCGGGAGGCTGTACCGACATTCTCCAGTCCATCTTTTTTCCTTATAGACAATTAAAACTGCTGAAATAACTGACTTTCTTGATGAACAGTTCACATTTTCCATCTAGGAAAAATTTCCATTTATCTTGTATTTAAAATACAGCCAAGTCTGCAACAATTCCCTTTGAATAATGTTGGCTTGTAATATTGTTAAAATCTACAGTCATGACTCTTCAAGTCAAAAAGGAGAGTTTCTCAGTTAGTATAGACGGGCTTCTGGGTGAGCTTGCTGGGTGTAATATGCATGGTCCTTTGGGCAGCTGGCAAAGCACACTTGGAGGGAAAGTCACAGGGATGATATTGGGTTATGCTTTAGAGGTATTCTTGTAGCACAGAGCTAAAACTGCCACTTGGAAAAAAAAGTGTGTATAAGGAAACAGAATCTTGCTTTGAAGCTGTTGAAATCACTTCTGAGAGCTTTTAAAAGTTGATAGTCCTGCCTCCTCCCACTTCTTAAAAGAAAAACACTTTTGTCCTGTTTTGCAAAAGAAAAATCATTAGGATCCTTAAGTGTTTACCCAAATCTTAAGAGAAAGCATGCTGTGTGCCAAAACAAATCTGTACACTGCAGTGGGGACAAACCACAAAGAAAACCGGAGTTTGGTCTTTGAGCAATGTTTCGGTACATGCCTTGGAACTACAGTGAGTAGTTTTTCTTTTTAGCTAGCACTTAGGTTTTAAAAAAACAGATATGAAAGACAGATGGACATGTAGAGAAATGCTTGGACACCTGCTATATGATTTTTTTTAAACATTCTACACTATTGTTCTTGTATGATGCCAAATATGCAGCAGTGATGTCGGGACACAGTGCTGATTTGGCCTGTTCTGCTTCTTTCAGTGACACTTGGTGTGGGTTTCTTGTGGAAACCCTGTAGTATTTGTAGGGAAATGATGCACTCTAAATAATGCAGTGGAACAGGGAATATAGGTTATACCAAAATCATAGGTGCTGTTTCCTTTTCCATCACAGGGGAAAGATGCAGTCTTCTAAGTTTAGTGCCTCTAAGTCCCTTGGAGGAGAATGGGACTGTAACTTCCTTTACAAAATACAGGAACGGTCAATGTCAGGTTATAAAACATTGGCTTCAGAATTTTTAAAAACTAACTCTTTTAGGCTAGTGTCATATGTGTGTATTTTTTGGCTTTTTTCATTATCTCCCAGAATTTGTTTTATATCATACTTAAGCAGCCCTCTGTGTTTCTGTGGACAACATTGCTAGAAATGAGAGTACATATGTATCCAGAACTTTATTTTTGTCACTTTCACTGGGAAAGATCTGCAAGGACAGTTGGCTGTGCAGGTGGCAATAATAAAAGTTAAAGTAATGTGTTGCTTGACTATGGAGTTTTGAGTTTGACCAACTGAAAAAGAACTTTACTTGCTTGCTGCTAAGAAAATGACGTTTATTGCACCTACTGTTCCTATGTGAGACATCCCTGAAGGAGTTGTGCAAGTTTTAAATTCTTCCAGTTACAGCAGTTGAGTTGTAAAAAAAATACATGCAGATTTTAGAAATCTTGGTAATCCCTCACAGTCCTGATAAAATTGGTTATCCAACAGAGAATGTTAGTCAGTATGTATGTTTTTTAAAAAATAACATGTCTCTAAGTGGTTCCTACTCCTGATATTTTTTTTTTTCATTTTTATTCCTTTAGTTCCTTGGCATAGCATTTCTTGGGATTGGATTGTGGGCATGGAATGAAAAGGTAAGTTGAACATAGTACCAGACTCCATGTTTTTCTTGTTTTTCTCCTTTTCTCTGATGAAATATTTGAACAGTAATGTGTTTCACATTTTCTGTGTCCGCACACAGTTTCTACTGAAACAAAATCAAGCTCCACTGTCAAATAAAACCTTGGCTCGGCTCACCTAGAGGAAGATCCTTGGCATCATTCCCAAGAATGCCTTGGCAAGAAATCACCATGACACCTGGCCATAAAATAACTTTTTCAGTCCATACATGCTCAGGCTGCAGCTCAGATAGAAGGGCACTGCTGAAGGCAGGATTGGCAGTGTCTCTCTGCTGCCTGGGTCCCCAGGAATTGAGAGGCAGCCTACACATCTTAGAGGGCAGCTTCCTGAAGATAAGGTGCCTTGCCTTTGCTGTAACACAACATGCTAATTGCTGCTCGTCTTACAAACCAAAGCACTAAAACCCTCACAAACCCAAATCCAAAACCAAATGAATCCTGAAAAACAAGCCAAACCTGAGACGTTAGTTTTTCTTGTGCAAATGAAATTGTCCACTGACACCCTCTGTGTTGTAAGACTGTAAAAGCAACTTGGAAATGGGAAGGAAGAGGGGGCAGAGAAAGAGAGAACACTTGTGAACCAGAGTCTATTAGTCCTTTTTTTTTTTTTCCTGCAGAAGTTAGGAAGAAGATAAAATATTGAGACATAATATACAAAACAAGTCAGTATCTATTGGGTTGCTGGGTGAAGTTTGGGTTGCTAAAGAAAACAGCTAAAATTAAAGCTAGAATTTCCTTTTCTTTGTTTAAAAGATTGAAAATAATAAAACCTAGTTACAGCAGTGGTGCAATGAAATTCAATTGCATAACTTTTCTTATTTTCTTCTTTTAATGGAGAACATTGAGTAAGTTATTCAAATGATGTTCCCTTAAGGCATAATAACTGGTGCTTGCAGCAGAACAAATAATACGTTGAAAGCACTGGAGTTTGGCCACTTAAAACTCAGGCTAAATTTTGCTGGTTCAGAAGTGAGTCGTTAACTTATTCTAATTATTCTGTGCATGTGCGTTGGATGTAGATAATTACAAACAGTAATGGGATATTAATTAACTCACACTATATACACCCATACATATATATGTGTATTTACATACCATGTGATACTCATGCTGGATGGCTTGAGTAGGCCAGGAAAGAGGTGCTGTGGTTTTTTTAAACCTTTGCTAAATTAAAAAAGTGTTTTATTTAATACTCTGAGCATATTCACAGAGCTTATGCCTGTGTCTAAGCCTCAGAGAAGAACTTTATTTCTGAGTGGCTTTCTAGAAGAGATGTTAACATTTTTGTGTTATTTCAGTAGGTAACACAAATGATTCCTCTTTAGGATGAATGAGCAGGTAAAGGGGAAACAGCTAGAGTCTAGTGTTAGAAGTCTGAAATACACCACGCCTACAGGTAGAGGATGATCTGGCACAATAATGGCTTGTGGGGTTTTACATATTTTCTGTACGTGAGAGCGCACAAACATGCACCACACTCCCCCATCCATTCTGCCCTTTCTAGGAAAATTGCATTCAATTTAGAATTGCTGATGGCCAGAAGCCAAAGCTCAGGTTTTTACTTGAGATTTGGACATCTGTTGTCAAGTAGTCTGAGAACATTTTTAATCAGACCTTGAAAGTGGGAAAAAATGCCGTGTTGTTTTTAAGCAAATAAAACTACCTAGAGCAGTTTAATATGCATTAGCTCAGGCTCAATATGTAGTATATTTTTCTATAGAAATTAATAAAAGTACTGTTTATTGTTTTAAAGCACAGGTCTTTCTTTGAAAATTAGCATTTCTCCCCAGCCTCTAACTGTTGTCCTGTAATGCTTCGTGTGGACTCCTTCAGCTGGTGGTTGTAACAACCAAAATGTAATATAGGTATAGCTGAACTGCAGCTCTCTTGAGCAAAGACAAACTTGAGTTGTTGTAGCAAGAATTATAGGAAAATAAACTTGTGTCAAGCCAATTTGAGCCCTTTCTTTCACTTGGCTCTTTAGAGGACAGGCAATGGCCAGAAGCTGTAGTCAGCCAGATCAAATTCCAGAAACTCATGGTCCCTCTGCACCGTAGTGGGGGGCAGATCAGTTATGCCCCAGAGAGAGCTGTTCTTGCTGCAGCTGGGGTGCTGGAGGTGGAAGCCAGGGAGGCAAAGCCTAAGACTTGAGAGGTCTGTAGCTCAGCTGAAAAGCACTTCTCTAGCTAAACTCCTTCTTGCCTAGGGCTAGCCAGGATGTCCCTTAGGCATCGTGGACTGTTGTAATGGTATGCTGTAAGACAGCAAAGGAACTTTGCAGAGAAGGACTTGGGGGGGGGGGCTGGTGTGCACTGAGTTGGACACGAGCCAGGACTGTGCCTGTGTGCCAAAGGAGGCCAACAGTGTCCTGGACTGTATTAGGAGAGTTGCCAGCAGACTGAAGGAGAGGATTCTTCCCCTCTGCTTGGCATGGGTGAGGCCACACTTGGGCCAGTTCTGGGCTCTCCAGTACAAGAGAGACACTGAAATATTGGAGAGTCCAGCAAAGGGTTGCCTGGATGATTAAGGGACTGGAGCATCTCTCCTACAAGGAAAGGCTGAGAGAAATGGGACAGTTCAGCCTGAAGAAGAGCATGCTTAGGAGAATCTCAATGTATATAAATACCTGAAGGATGAGTGCAGAGAGGATGGAGCCAGGTTCTTTTCAGTGATGCCCAGTAGCAGAGGCAATGAACATAAAATGAAACATGCGAAGTTCCCTCTGAACATCAGGAAACACTTTTTTTTTTTTTTTAACTGAGTATGACTGAACACTGACACAGTTTGCCCAGAGATGATGCAAAGTCTCAGTATTTGGACATATTCAAAAGCAGTCTGGACATGGATCTAGAAAGTCAGATCTAGGTGACCAGATGACATGCAGAAGTCCCTTCCAAACTCATCCATTCTGTGAAGGTTGCTGCTGTCCCATTGAACTAAGTCTTTATCAAATCTGATCTTGGTGCTGCTATTGTATTAGGCCTAAATATAAATCAGGAAATATTTTTTAAGGATGGGTCTTCAGAAGGGCTCCTCTACTGCAAACTGATTTGGTGGTGGCCAGGATTTTGATTTACTTCTGTCTTGAATCATGTTGCTTTATATCCAGCTGTGTTATTTTATAACCTGGCCAACTTTATATCAACTTGTATATACTTTTGCTATCCCACAGAATCTTTTTAAGATTAAAAGTTAGTGTCACAGGCTACGTTAAAAATGCAGAAAGTAAACAAATAATCCACATTTTACAGGAGTCCCATTTGCTCCTGGCTAAAAACAGTTTGGGGTAGATCTGTGAGTTTGGTTAGTTGGGGGGTGTGTGTGTTTTGGTTTCCCCCCTCCCCCCCCCCTTTTTTTTTTTTTTTTGCTGAGTTGGCTTGAATTCTCCCTTTTCAACTTTGTTGTAAAGAAAAAAAAAAAGCACACTATACAGTCTCGTGACCTTCCTTACAGCCTTTGCAGGGAGGCAAAAGAGCTCATTTGTCAAATAGGCAATAGAATTGGCTTGACAGCCAGTCAGCCAGCCCTAAACAAAAACTGGGCAATTAGCATTCTGAGTCATGAACCTGAAAGAGTTAGGGGGTAGGGTGGGGGCAATAAACTCAGAGGATGAATAAAGCTATCTATACATAGATGCACTATATAGCTCACAATCTCACAGTGTTTGCAGGCACTCTAGACTTGAGCTTGTACCATAAAAAAAGTTCATCCATGGCAGCTCATTTTCACCCTTCTGCCCCCAATAATGACATCAACATTGTTAACGTAGAAGGAGTTCATACTAAAGAGTCTGTACTAAGCCCAAGCACCTTACACTACTTCTGGTCAGCAGCAGGGGAGAAATGTTTATATTTCAGTGGGGTTTTTAACCACTTTGAGTAATTTCATCTGTTGATTTTTTTTTTAAAAAAAAAAAAAAACAAACCTAGACCTGTACAAAATGTCTGTTTCCCTCCTTGGTTATATATTAGATAATGGCCTTAAGGCTCACTGGGAGTGTTCGTGGTATGATGCCAGTAGATACTTGGGAAGATAAGCTTCCCGATGCTTTCAGTACCTGCAGTAGATTTATATTCACAAGTATTGAGACTAAGTGATGAATTGCTGTTATGTCTTCTGAAACCTTTTAAGACTGTCTATGGAGAGGAAATTTTTAGAAGGAAAGCACTGTGGTTTTATGGTATTAGGTAGGAGGAGGTATCAAAGGTAGAGATAAAGTAGAGAGAATAAATCTGCAGATCCTTGCAAAATTGATTAGACTTAATTCGTGTATAAGTTTGTCTGAAATGAAGAAGAGGTTGATTATGTGCATGAGCTTTTCTAGGCTTTTCTTGTTAAGCCAGTGTAACTAGAACACATTCCAGCTTAGAAATCAAGCTGTGCATGGTTTGGAGTACTAGTATGGTACCTCAAGTTTTAAGCTAGACTTACATGTTGATATAAGGTGATCTAGGCCTGCTTTGGTGTTCTGGGACAGGCTAAATTCCCTAGTGGCCCACCCAGCTCTAACCCACAACAACAGAAACAGTCACATTTTGTCAGACCAAGCCTCTTTCCTTGTCCTGATAGGAAAACTGAAGTTGTGTTTAGGGGACAAGTTTTCTCACTTTTTACTGTCCCAGTGAATGACAGACATCAAGAGGGACTGATACATTACTCACTCCTTAATTGTTGTCCATACATGTCTGTCACACAGTTCTTTTCAAAACAGTTGCTGACAGGGAAACTGTGTGATTATCCCAAGGGTCCTTATGGGCCAAAGGATACCCAAAGCAGATATCTTGCCTCTAACCCGGGCACTCTGTCTGTATTTTACAGGACTGGGGAGGAGAGGGGGAGAGATATTAATATCTGCTATTACATTTAATTTAAATTTCAGTATGTAAAGATGCATTATCTAAACAGGCTCTTAAATAATTTTAGTAGTGTTCCAACACCTTGCAACTGAAAAATGT